ACCGCCGCGGCGCGCCGCGAGGCCCGCGACGCCGCGGAGGCGGCGGCGCGCGACGCCGCGGCGGCGCGGCGGCTCTGCGCGGACGTCGCCGCGGCGCTCCGCGGCGCGAACTGCGACCGCGGGCTCTGGCGCCTCGCCTTCGGCCTCCGGCGCCACGTGCTCGCGATCCTCGCCATCGGCTTCGGCCGCCTCCGGCGGCGGCGGCGGCGGCCCGACGGCGCGACGCCGCCGCGGCCGTCGCCGCGCGAGGGGTCCGGCGCCGCGCGGTTCCTCCCGCGCGGCGCGAGCCACAGCCCGCCGCGGCGCCGCCGCTACTCGCCGCCGCCGAGCGCGGACCGCGCGCGGGACGCGATCCGCCGCCAGGGCACGACCATCCCGGGCTACTACTGACGCGGTCGGCGCTAGACTTGTATTCCGCGGGGCCGGATGTTGATGTTCATCGTGCCGCTCCCGGCCATCGAAGTTATGGCACCGCGCTAGAGTCTAGCGCCTCCGACTCCGTCGGCCGCGGTGCATGTCGAGCCTCATCGTGCCGCTCAAAAAGGCGATCGGGGATGGCCCTTGCGTAAAGCGCACCTCGCCTCGCTCCCGGCTGCAGCACCGCAACGACACCGCCTCGCCATGCGCCTCCTGCGCGCCAAGGCCGCGCGCAAGACGCTGGGCTTCTACCGCGCGGCCTTCAAGCTCGAGGCGCCCTACACGGTGCTCGTCGACGGCACCTTCGTGCACCACGCCCTGGCGACGGTGCAGACGAACCTCCGGGCGCGCGTGGAGAAGATTTTAGGCCGCGGCGTCAGGTTCGCCGTGCCCGCGGCCGTGCTCGACGAGCTGCGGTCCTTCGGCGCCGCCGCGGAGGCCGCGGCGCGATTCTGCTCGAAACATTGCGAGGTCCTCGGGGCGCCCGGCGCCGCGGGCGCGGCGGACGCCGTGCTCGCGCTCCTCGGCGAGGCCAACGAGCGCAAGTTCGTCGTCGCGACGCACGACGACACGCTCCAGGCGCGCGCGCGCCGCGTGCCGGGGACGCCGCTGCTCCGATTCACGGGCACGGTCCTCGCGCTCGACGCGCCGTCCAAGGCGTCGCTCCGCGCGGCGAAGCGCAGCGAGCGCGGCCGCGAGGCCCTCGACGACGACGAGCGCGCGCTCGTCCGCGAGCTCAAGGCCGCGGGGGCGCGGCGCGGCGCCGCCGCGGCGCCCGCGGCGGCGCCGCGGACGAAGAAACGCGCGGCCGCGCCGAACCCGCTCTCGAACAAGGCGCCGGCGAAGCCGCGCAACGCCGCGCCGACGGGCGCGAAGAAGAAGCGGCGGGCGCGGAAGTAAGGCAGCTCTAGAAGGCCACCCTGACGACGCTTCGCGCCTTTGCGTTGCTACTAGGGACACGAATGTAGGGGCGTCGCGGCGGGGCGGGACCGGCGGGCGTCAGCCCTTGACGCCGAGGAGGTACTCGATGTCGCCGAACTGCATGACCTTGTTGCCGTCGACGCCGTCCGTGTCCGCGGCGACGGCGGCCATGGCGGCGCCCTCGGACTTCTCGCCGCGGCGCTCGCGGCGCGCGAGGACGCGCGCGTCGACGGTGCCCGCGGCGAAGAACTTGAGCACGGTCACGGGCCGCGTCTGGCCGATGCGGTGCACGCGCATGACGGCCTGCTCCTCCGGCGCGGCGTCGAGCGCCGGCTCGCAGAGGCAGAGCACGTTCGCGTTCGTGAGGTTGAGGCCCACGCCCGCGGATCGCACCGTGAGGAGGCACACGGACGTGAGCGGGTCGGACTTGAACTCCTGGAGGAGCTCGCCGCGGCGGTTCGCGTCCGTGCCGCCGTCGAGGCGCACGAAGCCGAGCGCGCCGGCGAAGGGGTCGTCGCCGGGCGCGCCGCGGAGCGCCTCGACCGTCGCGTTCTCCCAGCGCTCGCTGCCGAGGTCCTCGAGGTCCGCGCGCGCCGCGTCGTCGTAGCGGGACGGCGTGCCGTGCTTGACGACGTAGGCGCCGCCCGCCTTGACCTCGTGCACGTGGCCCTGGACGCCCGTGGCCTTCACCTCGACGCGCATGCCGACCTCGAGCGGCTCGTCGGCGCGCGCCGGCGGCTTCTTGCACTGGACCTCGTCGCCGACGGCGAAGCGGTTGTCCGCGCCGCAGCGCGTGAGGCAGTCGTCGCCGCCGCGGCCGCGGATGCTCCGCGACGCGACCGTCGTGCGGTAGACCTTGGCCACGATCTCGTCGCGGTCGACCTCCTCGAGGACGGCGTCGTCGTCGCCGTCCTCGAGCGCCTCGCCGTCGGGCCGGATGTCGTAGACGCGGACCTTCTGCTTCCACTGGGGCGGCTGCTTCGGCGGCTCCTCGTCGGCGTCCTCGGCGGCCTTGCGCGCCTCGATCCAGCGCTGCTGGTACGTCGCCGCCTTGACGACGACGCCCGCGACGGGCTCGACGACCTTGGTCCCGACGAGCAGGTTCTTGCGGTCGTTGACGATGGCGACGTCGTAGGCCACGTCCTCGAGGAGCGGCTCGAGCGCGTCCAGAGTAGAGCCGAACTCGCTGAGGACGACGCACTGCGTCTCGACGTTCGACGCCTTGAGGCGCTTGACCTCGGCGACGAGCGCGGACAGCTTCGCCGAGGGCGCCGCAGCCGCGGCGCGGTAGTGGTCCAGGAGCGCCGGGGGCGCGTTCGGGTAGTAGGCCGCGTCGTCGCGGCGCTCGTCGGCGGACCGCGGCGGCGGCGCCGGGAAGGCCGCGTCGAGGCCTTGGAGCGCGTGCGTCACCGCGAGCGACGGCGCGGTC